ACAAAAAAAAACACTAGGTATATTGAGCCAGGGAGTTGCAATTGTTTACGGTTCCCAGGGAGCACTAGCAGAAAAAAGGAATTCTACCAGAGGAATTTTCGCCGCGAGAGACGACACTTGGGTTTCTCGGCGCACAAGAGTACCACGAAGAAGCGCTGCAAAAACACAATCTGATAGGAATGCCTGACAAAACGCAATGGCTGGGACAACAACCCTAGGTGGAATGCTCCAAGCTGGCTTGTTGTGGCGCAACGCGTGGGCACGCGATTAGGACTTGGTATTCTTGAAGGTTCAATTTATCTTCAGTTTCGTTTTTCTAAAAAAACAAGGGGGAATTTTCTCCACGCGCTCACGGCTTTGGTGAATAGGATGTTTTTCAACACGGAAGTGGCAATTTGCGAAGGTTCAAGGAAGTGGTTTTCAAGCGAGCGACGACGTATGAAGGTGAAAGAGGTCTCTATTTATCCAGTGGCGCAACTGCGTCAGTAGCTGTTCGGCACTGAGCGTTCCCTCTGGGGGTTTAGAGCGGCCCAAAACAGTAGGAAGTCTTTTTAGACATTTTTTTTTTACCTCCACTGCGTCCACCGCATTGAGGACGCTGCTGCTGCTCATGAGTGCTACTAGCTTGCATTGTTTGCAAAGTTCAGGACCCGCAGAAGTTTCTAGAGAGTGTTGCAGGGAGACGGATATTATCGAAAGAATTTTCGCAATATTAACGTGAAAAGATTGGCGCACGCGTCGTCCTACTCTGCGGACAATCAACCGCGACGCAAGCAGACCGTAATATGTATGGGTTACACAACCAGCCGTTCCTATGGCGGGATCTAGCTCGCGCATGTTGAAATATTTCTTATGAAAAAGTCAACCGACCAAGTTTATTTCCAGAACCCTGGGAAGGCGCTCAATGCCATTTACGGAAAGAAGTGAAAGGCGAGGCGCCATCGATGCTATGACCTTGAATTCGATGAAACCCAACAATGAGTCCGGATATTTAATGTAGCCTTCAACATCATCGAACATTTATGGCGATGCTTCTTCGGGACGTCCGATGGAGTTAGGTGAAGATTGATGTTTTTTCCTTGCGTTAGATGTGAAACCTCAAGATGGCGCCCCACAGATCTCCCATCTAGCGTAACTTACCTCGTGACTCCAACGACCTGGAGTGGACGCCACTACTCGGCAAATATGGCAGTCGACTAGAGGTCGTGACGTGCCATGTACCAGCTGAACGCACAATGCTGGGGCATCAGCAAGCAAGCATTGGTCTCACAATAGCCCGCCCCAGCGGCGTAGACTTTCCATTTTCGGGGGGGGGGGGGGAGGGGGGGGGGGGCGGTGCTGCGCGTTATTTTTTCGCCAGAACTGAAGATTGAAGCTAACGAAAACACGCCGGATTACATTTTTCATGTGTTTTGTCAATAAAGGCAATGTGCGCGTTATTTTCTTTACATGCCCCTACTAGAAGCTCGTTACATGGCACGTAAACAGCGTCTCGGTAAGGATCATAGCCCGGGGCCGCGGGAGGGGGGACTCTGCCCCCCCCCCCCCCCCGGATTTTACCATGGCGGGCATTAGCTCCGTTTCCCCCCCCCCCCCCCCCCCCCCCCTAGTCTACGCCTATCGTCCGCACCGCCTTTTAGTCTCCACGTTTAGAGCCTGCGGCGATGTGTTGACGTAAGCGAACTTCCAGGGTCTTAACGTTTTTTGAGGAAGCAATGAGTGGACTGCCTACTCTCCCACCACGATGCTGATGAACGTTGATAAACGGGGAATGTCTGGTTGATGCTGTCGCATAGATTGGGTGCAGAGAAACCTGAGAACAAGCTTACACTACTGCAACATGTAATCACAGAAGTGCTTTTACGTTATGGTGCAGTTGTTTGTTTGTTTGCAGTCGCGAATACGCTGAGTTTGCGGCGTGGTAGCCGTGTGATGAAGTGGTTTTCCCTTTTGATAAGGTTACTGCGAAAACCGAAATTCGTTTGCCAGAAGACGCAGCGGTTGTGGTGTACGACTTTGGGTAACGTTGGTATGTCAACTTTACCCAAAGCAGGGTACAGCACCGCATCAACGCGCACGGTGATGTGGCGCTCTAAACCCGAAGCATGCTTGCGTGCGCTGCGTACGATCGTTGTAGGACTCTCGTTGTCCGCTTTAACAAGGTTCTCGCGTTATTGAAAGACAGTAATTATACAATATTTAACTGCCACAGAAGTGGCTGTGTCTCTAGGTTAGGGAGCGCTGTAGAGTCCATAAAACGCGAACACAAAAGAGGCAATTCCGCTAGCGTACGCGAGAAGTAACCATTAACTGCTGACGTGACTCAGCGTTCTAGAGCCTCCTCGTTCACGATCTAAAATCGCTGAATGTTCCCATAGGACTGGAACTCATAAGCTCAAAGTGCCAAGCTCAGTCTTATTATTTTTTTACAGTTTTCAGCATGAGCATCAAAAATCGTGTATTTGCAAATAAAGCTGAAAAAAAAAGCTAATTTTTTTTTTTTTACTGTTGTTGAAGATTAGTACGAAATGACAGCCCCGTGAGGTTTTTATAACATGGTATTGTAGAATATGCTTTTTGTGGAAAAATTAGTATTGTTTTATACAACCATCTCTGACCGGCGATATCAGGTAGCGCATCCCAGACCTGGGCACGTCCTAGCTTCGGTGGTAATTCGCGGCGGCTCGTCCGCTTGCGGGACGCGGGTTGGTAGCCGTGAAACCACTCCCACTGTATCTGTTTGAGCGAAAAAATTACCGATGAAACCTAAAATTGAAGAGTCATAGCGGACGCTATCGAATGCGATACCATGGCAACGTACAGTGACTGTGGCGTGTACAAGCGCCTGTCAGGGTGTTTCCTCGCGCGCTCTCTCTTCGCACGCTACACCAGCATTTCAGAAGATTTAACGCGACCTAAAATACTAGAATTCTCCTCCAGGAACGTTGCTCTAGACAGGAGTGCTACAGACCTTATATCGTTCATAGCTCCAAGATGCTTCCTGCTTTTATGGCTGTCATGTAAGATCTGCATTTCTCGAACGTAAAGTGAAACACATGAATACCTCACAAAGCTTTGGTCTGTAAGGCTTCTCCACCAAAGCACTTCAATGCGTCTCTTAGCTTGTTACCTCTTCCTCACCAGGGAGGATTTTTCATCGAAAGGAACTTAAATTTGATACTCTAGTGGCCAATAGAAACCTGCACTGAAGTGGTCACCGAACTGTTGCGCCCTCTCTTTGGGCAGCACAAGCTCACCTGATTGGGCCTGGCAGTACTTATGGGGACATCGCTGATCTTTTTTGCTTTTTTATACTCTTTTTTCCTTTATTTTCGTTTCGCCAATCTTTGTTTACATCTCTGTTTGATTAGCCGAAATGAGTCATTTCATTTCGTCTATTTTCTTTGTAACAGATATTGCTTATAGCTTTTGCCAATCGGAGTGCACATTTAATATTTGAATCTATGGCCGCCTCTTTTTTGTTTTGTCATTTTGTTTTATTTTTGTTTGCTTTACCCCTCCCCTCTATAGTTCGTCTCATTCTACGATGGACTAAAGGCCAAAGCCACAGGCCGCCAGGTCCAATCACGTTCTGCGCTAAACTATGACACGCTTAGCGTTGGTTAGGTTTGGACGAATGATGCTCCCAATCCAAAAACGCTGCGTCATTTTTATAGCATCGACACTGCAAAGAACCATTAAGCCGTGGCTTTCTTTGCAGTCTAAAATTGCTGAGTCACTCATTGCTCGATCCGAACCACTGTCGGCCCATTCCCATCGGTGATCCGAGGCGCGGGCACCGATACGTGCTTCGAAGCAAAATACCACACAATGTCTAAGTGGGTCGTGATTGGATCTGGCGGTTCGTAGCTTCTGCCTTTAGTCCATTGTAGGGTGAGACGAAGTATACAATGCTTCGGCGCTTGAGGTTATGTACAATAAATAAATAGTGTTGAAGAACCAAAACGCACCTTTCGAAGTCCAAGATTCTCCAGAATCTAGGCCGCAAAACAATAAACACTGTGGAATTCAAGCACCATCGCTAGGGGTACAGGTCTCGTTTCTCTGGGTGGTGGCGTCGGACAATGGGCAATACAAAAATAGCAGCGCTCCTAGCGGTTTTTGTGCACGAAGGCAGCGGGAGACTGTCAATGGGTAGTTTCGGTTTTGGTTTCGCTGGGTTGTGCATTTGACGTTTGCTATCTTATCCGCACCGCCATTGCTGACGTTGTCGTGGATTGCTTCACACTTACTCATGATGCATCAAGTACCCATTTTTTCTTGTCGCTTCATATCAGACCTGGCAAATAACGAAACTACATTACATTTTTGCAGGCACGTGGAGCGAGCGACAACACCGCAGCGACATAGTGTACGCAGATCGACGTACGCAAAACATCTGTTCAGTTCACTGTGTGTTACTGTTTGCAACCTCGAGAACAGTCAATGCGACTAGTACTCCAGTTTTATAACACCTTTGCTTCGCTGATCCTTTTTTTTTCAATCAGGCTAACGCGGTACATGACGAACCTCCCTGTACGAGAATGCGTTGAAGCGCTAAAAGCATGCACTTCTTGGTACGGCGCTGTGAGAAGACCATGGTTATGATCAAACTACAGTCGCGGTATTGGTGCGCCCATGTAGTTGAATGCGCAGGTTCCTTTTGTGTACGTCTTTTAGCCCTATCAATCCGTGTTTCATAGACTTTGCGATTATCGGAATACATATAGGCATCTATTTTCCGTCCTGTGACCTCACACTCGTTAGGGTCGCACTCGTACTTGTTTCTAAGTGTCACTAACGAAACGCATTGTCCTCCAGAGCTTTACGCTTTGACTTCATTTGTTGCGTTATGTTGCAAGCGAGTATTTCTGGAAAATTGTAGTTTTGCGTACATTATAGGCACTGAAGATATTTCACCTGAAAAATATATTATTCAAATAGTATGAACACCAGGTTAAGCTGTGTTAAACATTGTTTTATTCTCTATTTACTGACAGCTCGGCAAAAGTACCCTAACCAGTATGACGTCGCAGGACGGGAAACAGCTACCGATAAACTATCCGATAATCGCTAACTTCATGAAACACGAAGAGTTACGGCTAAAGGGTGTTTGCCTAAGGACTTTATGGGCACACCAGCACCGCGACTTTGTTTTGAGCATTCTGGTGGCTAATACGAGATAGGCCAAATTGCTCGGACGTATGGCACCTCTAAGCGCGTACATCGGGTCGGCCATCTTTGTTAAGTCGAACTCGGAGAGCCGCCCCACGCGTTGATCAACCGTGTAGCACGCCGGAGGAATGACTCAACGGTGGCATTTTCCCACGTTGGACCACAGCATGTGGCGTAGCAATCTAGAAGCTTTACCTGTCATTTTTGATGACAGTTAGCAAACTTGTGCGCTTTGACAGCCAAGTCGACCCGCCAGCAGAGATAGTCGTACGTGTTCGCGTCGAAGCGTGCACGCTGCACTCATCGGTTTCGACAAATGTCCGCGACACAAGGTAATTACTGAAGATGGACCAAAGAGGTTCTGCTTTTTGAAAAAGTGTACTTTAAACACAACGCATGATCTAGAAACAGATCACTTGTATGCAGGCTCATTCCAAATCGGGATCACCTTACTTAAGATTGAGTCGCCACATCTACTTCGCAGGCACACCACTATCTTTTTAACGCATATCCCATGTCACAGATTGTGCTTATTGAACGCGAAGGCACGAGTTTGAAAGCGTGGCTTCGCAGAATTCGTTATTTGCATGAGAACTCGCGCTGAGAGGACGCTTTCAAAAACATCGCGATCGCAGCTGCGCCAGCACTGAAGACGCCTTTGAAAGTTTGTTTACACTTAGGTCGTCATGGTTGCGTTTCAGTTTTCTGAGAAGCTGTAGAGACGCGAAACGGTAACATCATTAGGAAGCTCATGCTCCCAACGGTCTTCCACCCTGCTGTGAGGGAGGAATGCTGTAGGTTGTAGCAGTACCTTCGCAGGTTACCAACATTTATAGCCACCGAAGGGTAACAAAAACCTTGCAAGCACTGCAGTACTTCACAATACGAACATTGCCGCGATTTAAGGACCAAAGCGGATGCGTTGCAGTATAGAAAAAAGTCAACAAATTGGCGCAATCACAGTTACATCCTACAAGACTGGAGTCTCCTAGGTGCATAACTTCCGTATACGTTGAAAGCAGCTGTAATCTTTCCTGCAGTGCAATACGTTGGCGATAGACTGCATAGCTTAGATCACACTGCTAAGTTTACACATCGCGAGTCTGTTTGTGCGAACATGATATCGACGCTTTTTTTCATTATCGTGGTACCGGAAATCGACGATCACAACGTTTCACCGCTTACTTTGGTTTCCCCGAAAATTCGTTCTCAAAACATGCGTAGTTTTAGCGATACGATATCATGGGTCAAAATAAAAGAATGAAAATTGACGAAGGTGTCCTCGTGCTAAGTGCTTAAGGGCCGCTTAATCTTGTCCTTATCACTCAATTAGTATTTATAAATGATACCTTTCTGACACATACATTGTTTCTATCGCTGTCGGGGACGTTACATTGCTAGCAGGGAGGTACCAAACAATTTAGGGCATTTAGCCAGTAAAAAAAAAACAAAAAAACCACCAACCCGTTTGGCTGCTTTTCTCGACCTAAAGATGGATTTACGTCTCATTGCGCCTAGTAGATGGCGCAGCGCATTTCGCATATCTCCATTTCCTCGCAACGACGCAGCAGGAGGTGCATTTTTGCGCTTGAACGCATTCTCGTACATTGAGGTTCGTCATTTACCGCTTTAACTTGTTTGAAAATAGCGATCGGCAAAGCAAGGGTGTTATAAAGCTGGAGTACTTGTCTCTGTGACTGTTCTCGAGGTTGCAAACAAATGCACCCAGGGAGCTCGCACGGCGTTTGCGCAACTCAAACTGCGTTCGCTTAACTTCGCCGTTGCGGTGTTTTCGCTCGCTCCCCGTTCTCGAAAAATCATAATTTTTTTTTGTTATTAGCTGTGTCTGATAGTGAGCGACGAGAGTAAAATGGTACTTACTGCATCGCGCGTAAGTGTGGAGCAATCGACGAAGACGTGAGCAGCGGCGGTGCGTAGAGGATGGCAGACGACCGATGCAGAACCCGGCAAACCGTATCCGAAACTTTCCGTTGACAGTCTTCTGCTCTCACAGTGCATCTGAACCGCTCAGGGCGCTGCTATTTGGCAAATTGCCCATAAATCGTTAAAAAATTATTGATGTTTCTTTTTTTTTTTCTATGAAACGTGTGAAACAGTGTTTATTGGCTCACTTTCTTAAGTGTCTTAGCTTTGACCTGTATACTTAGGTGCTCAGATTCTTACGGTTTCTGTGTACTTTCGCCGTGATCGTGTTCTGCACCACAGCCGGCATTACTTGTACAAGTCTGACAACTTGAGAAAGACAATTTTATACTACCCCTTCCCTCGAAGCAAAAAACCTTTTCTCGGTGCCTCCTGAGCAACGAATGAAGTGTATACAGCCTAGAGGGAAAGGCCTGCGTCTTTCTCACCCAAACGTCATCACTAGTGGATCCACAAAGCGCCTCCTAGATGGCACCAGCATCGCGGCCATCCCATCGTGCAGCATCTCACAAAGAGCAGGGCGCTTGCCGAAGCAGCGTTACTTAACGGACGCGCCTGCCACTTTGCGTTATAGTTTCGCGCATCTTCGACGTGTTTGATGAACAGGGTGGGTCTTGGATTCCCCAACAATGACGGCATTAATAACTGGCCCTGGCCTTTAGGTACTGTTTTTCAGACTCCGATATTTGGCTACTCTACTCGCGTGGTCGAGCGTGAGTAATTAGAAATTGACCGCCATGAGAGTAGTTTATAGCTTACATAAGTATTTTTGTTTAATAAAACTTGCTGAACGTTGGTGCCAGATTTGCTTGATCTGGAGAAATTGTTGAGCACATATTTCGGATAGGCCAATACTGACAAATATAACAAAATCCTGGCGCGCCCACCGTCTTCGCTTCATATATCTTCCTCGGACTTCCAACTTTCGGTGAAACTCAAAGCATTTCCGGCGGGACGGAAATACGGGTCCACTCAAAAGGTGATCTAGGATATCACAAGTTCTTTTTAGGGACCGCAAAAAAAATCTTGACAATGAAAAAACTTGGGCGTGTTCGTACAGCATGATGATTAAAACGTACAGCGTACAAAGACAGGAGAGAAATATTGTGTGTCCTCTTTCTCCTCTCGTGTCTGTGAGTGCCGAAAGGTTTAATTACACATGAAGTAACTTGCAAAAGGAAGTCGAGAAACTTGAAAAACGTTGGACAACTTCTTGAGGTTCAACGGCATAATATATGCGTAGGAACTGAGAAAAAAGAGGTCACGGGAGTACGTGGGGACACCAGGGAGCCCAGCTCTAACTGGAATAAGTAGTGGGTAAGTGCAAAGCTTGTTGTCTTTGTTTCTACTTTCCTTTTGAACGCGTTCGAACGCCGAACGCCGGCGTGCACTTTTGGCGTTGTTCAAACGGTTAGTATAGACAATGTCAGCTAGATTTATGTCTACCCTCTAATCATTTCAGTCAGAGCTCGGCTCTCCGGCGTTCCCGCGCTTTCTCATTTCATCAATTCCCTTAAAGCATTTTTGTTTTATTTTAGTTTTAAGCCGCAAACGTTTTAATGTACAATTTATGAAGATCTCGTCCCCGACAGCAACTTTCGGCAGGGCTCCCATGTCTCCATATAGCGAGCGGTATCGCTTGATGTATTGAACATCAACGCGCTCTCAGAAACCTTTCAAGAGGCACGCCTCGACGGCTCCTTTTCGTTTCGGGTGAACTAACCAGGCACTGAAAAAGGTTTTTAGCGGTGGCGACGTCTTATAATCTTTATTTTAGATTAAACTATAAATGTCACAAAATATCAGCTCTGTGCCTTTTTTCTTCGTTTGTGTTGCCCCTGACGCACGTGGTTAATTTAAAGAGCAAAAGCTCCGAATTCTCTTTTCCTAGAAATAAGTGTGGTTCTTTTTAAACACTCTTAGAAAAGTGTAATGCAAAGTGTACGAAAGCCGTAGGTGTATCTATCCTTCTTATACGAGGTCCACATCTCTTAGTTTTTTCCAGAATGAGGAGAGTTCCTTCTTTATAGCTATGTGGGGCCCTTGAGATATTTCTTTCATAGCGCGATGAAAGCGTGTCCCGGGCGTAAAAAGATTACAGGACTGCGGGTGTAGCAACAAACTCTCGAGCAATGCCTCCCAAAAGACGAAAGTAAGCACGTTAATATGAGCAAGGCGGTCATATTACGGCAGGATGTCTGTGCAACGTCAAGGTCAATGGCGGTTAAATAAGAAACGCAGTCAATGAGAGAGCTGAATCAGCCGATACACCTTTGCAAGAGGAAATACCAAAACAGAAAGTGTTCTCGTTTTCTTTTTTTTTTTAAGCTCAACAAGAAGAGAAGCGTTACTTAAACTGTGAGCGTAGATGGTTCCACAACGACATTCGCATGAGTATTTCTTAAAAGCTAAGCATCTTTACATTTGCCATGTATAAAGTTTCTAATCAGTTAGAAGGTGAAATTAGCTATTGCGTACAGTTGCCAACAAAGGGCGTTTCGGGTGGATGGGCTCGACTGGATAAGAAACCGGACGGAGGAATATTGTGAGCCAGGGCGCAGTTCGGTGCCTGAGCAGCATCAGGCTTCGACCGCTGTTGTCGATGGTATACCCTATGGTAAGCTGACAACTCATCTTGTGTCGAATTGTAGTCTTCGAATCAAAAGACACTCCGTCTTTCCCGTTGGTCTCGACGACTCCACTAGCACTCTTCTCCTAGGGTTTTTTTCAAGTGCATTTTGCCTGGAGAAGTGCTTCTGCCGATTCCCCTCTCACATATTCTGTCCTATCACCACCTTGAGCACCTGAAACCTTTGTTGGCACCTAAGTAACATTGATCCAATATCAGTCTGGAAACTCTGGAAAAATCTGAGGCGGGACCTATGGAAGCGGATACTTCTGTTTCCATAGACCACTAGGTCACACCAAGTCCGAGCGGCCAGGAGGGCGCGAATGAGAGCTCGACGCTTCTCGGGAGGGTGTGGTGACATCACATAGCCGACCACTGATTAGAATGATAGGGAGTAGACCCCAAGGCGAGCTGGCTCGGTCTTTGCTCACAGCCACC